GTTTCGGGATTTGAAGAATTTTTTTGGCTTTGGAACTGCGGGGGCTGGCGCCGAGGCCTTGGGGTCGAGGTTGGTGTCGAAGGAGAAGGGGTCGCCGGGGGGGACTTGAGCGTTCTGGTTGGAATAGTCGAGTTTTGGCTTCTTCGCACCGAACGTACGCTGGATGTCATCTCGGCGACCTGCGGAGAAGAATTGGGGGGTGACTTTGAGTTTATTCAAAGATTTTTGGGGTGTTTATGGGAGTGGATTGGGTTTTTTAGGGCAGTTGTGAACAGTCAGGACTGCGAACGAATTCGGGGATGGGAGAAAGTGTAAGGATTAAAATTGATGTTGAAAAAATAATGAATACACGAATACATGATATTTTAATGAGGGAAATTTTTTTAGAGAAAAAAATTTGTTGGACTCAATTTTCTTGGGCGGTTTCAACCCACGTGGGCTTGTTTTGACGTTAGTTTGATATTAGTGGGTAATTTATTCGTTGTGACATTTTCATTAAGCACTAATGAAAATTCATGACTGTTTAATTAAAATCATTGCTGTTCTTGTGGGAAAATCAGGGATAGCCAAATTCATAATATTTTATTGCCGTTAAATACTGGAGCCATCAATTAGTTAACATCACTCTTAAATTGGTTGAGTACTTAAGTATCATCAATTCAAATATTCCAATTTTCAACTATTTTATCAATCAATGATTGGGGTAGAAAGATGGATGATTATTCGTGTAATCGAAAATGCCCTTTTAAGAAATTTGAATTATTCACTTAGTGGTAAATTTAGCTTCATATTAACAAATTTTAAATACATCGTTTTTCGAAAAAAATCAGATTATTAATATTATAATTATTAATAATTATTATAATTATTAATAATAATAATTATTAATTATTATAATTATTTGAAGAATTAGATCAACATATTTTAAACCTTCATTAATGTAAGGGTCAAATTCTTGTAATACTACAGAAATTTAATATTGATGGCGATCCCTGGGGAAAATACATCGATTAAAATGAATCTCAGGAAAATAGTAAATACCCATCATTTTAATGAGAATCTGAATATATTGTCTCAAAATTCATCGTTATTCGGATAATTTGAAATTTAGCACTTCATTTTTGAAATCAATAATTAATTGCAATCTGTTAATATTGTTGAATATTACTGATTATTCTTCAGAAAATAAATTCTTCAACTCAAATTCCTTACGTCAGTTCAACCCACGTGGGTTCAAGTTATTTGTAATGACATTTTTATTGAACACTAATGAAAATTCATGACCATTTCATTAAAAAATCATCACCGGTTAAAATGCATCCCAAAAAAATGATAAATATCCAGCATTTTAATGAGGATATGTAAAAAGAACTTTTATTGCTGGCGAAGTTTGAAAAGAAAAAATTATCTTAAAATATTTTCGTAAAATTCCTCGTTATTTGATTCATTTGGAATTTATCGCCATTTCACTTTTAAGCTCAATGTTAATTACCACCTGTTCACATTGTTGAGTATCACTGAATGTTCTTCAGAAAAAAAATCTTCAAATTAAATTTCTTATGCAATTTCAAGCCAGGTGGACTCAATGTATTCGTCACGACATTTTAATTAAACATTAATGAAAATTTCTGTTTGATTAAAAATTTATTGTTATTCTTATGGAAAAATACACAAATAAAAATGGATGGCAAAAAAATAATGAATATCCATCATTTTAATGACAATATGTAAAAAGAATTTTTTTATTGCTGATGAAGTTTGAGAAAAAAATAGTCTTAAAATGTTGTCGCAAAATTCGTCGTTATCCAGATAATTTGAAATTTAAAATTATTTCACTGTTGAAATCAACGTTAATTGCCATCTGTTCACATTCTTGAATATCACTGATTATTCTTCAAAAAAAATTCTTTAACTCAAATTTCTTATGTAATTCCAACCCACGTGGGCTCAATTTATTTGTCATGACATTTTCATTAAACACTAATGAAAATTCATGACTATTTGATTAATAAATTATTATTGTTCTCATGGGAAACTACATCTATAAAAATGTATCTCAAAAAAATAATAAATACCCATCATTTAAATGAGAATATTCCAAAATAATTTTTTTATCGCAGACGAAGTTTGACAATAAAAAATTATCTCAACATATTTTCGCAAAATTCTTCGTTATTCGGTTAATTTTGAATTTAGAACCACTTCACTTTTGAATTCAATGTTAATTACCACCTGTTAACATTGTTGAATCTCACTGACTAATCTTCAGAAAAAGATTTCTTCAAATCAAACTTCTTATCCTATTTCGTCCCCCGTGGGCTCAATTTACGCGTTATGACATTTTAATGAACCATTGATGAAAATGCATGACTGATTAAAAATTCATTAATGTTCTCATGGGAAAATACACCTCTAATAATGAATCTAAAAAAAAATTAACAAATAAATACCCATTTTAATGAGAGAAAAATTCATCATTACATTAATGATACACCTATCTCGATAATGAGTGATTTTATGAGAATATGTCAAAAGAATTAAAAAAAATTTTTTTTCATCGCTGACGAAGTTTGAGAAGAAAAATTGTCCAACATATTATCGAAAATTCCTTATCATTCGGATAGTTTGGAATTTAACACCACTTCACTGTTGAAATCAACGTTAATTACCACCTGTTAACATTGTTGAATCTCACTGACTATTCTTCAGAAAAAGATCTCTTCAAATCAAACTCCTTATCCGATTTCAACCTACGAGAGCTCAATCGATTCGTTATGACATTTTAATGAAGCCCTCACGGAAATTAATGACTTGTTTTATTAAAAATTCATTAATATTCTTATCTAAGAATGAATCTCAAATAATGATGAGACAGCTGTTCGTAAATGAAGAATATTCCAGCAATCAAAATAATTCCAATTGCATTGAAATGCGTATTAACTGCAATTCCCGTTAATAATAATAAATGCCCACCAATTCCACTCATATTAGCTTCAACAAAACACCCTCACCTCACCAAAAGAAACCACAACCTCATAAAATTCAAAACAATAATTCATAATTGACAGATTTTAATGGAAAACTAATGATAATTCGCGACTTATTTTATTAAAAATTCATTAATATTCTCATCTAAAAATGAATCTTAAAAAATGACGAGACAGCTGTTCATAAATAAAAAATATTTCAACAAACAAAATAATTTGAATCGGATTTAGGGCCTGGGTGTACTACCTTTCGAATGTTATGTGGATTTTTTTAATCTTTCGTAATCCAAAATTGTCAATTGAGTGGTACATCATGTAGAAATTCCCGACAATTATGATAGAATGAAAAAAACAAAATAGAAAAAATAGAAAAAAACTTTTTCAAAGAGCGTTTTTAATTGAGATTCAGGATGAGTTGAAAAAAGTGGAAATTACAAATATATTATTCGCTGTGGCAAATTATCTATTAGCTGTCATTTTCCATGGTGGATAACAAAACACTAACTCCTCATGGGAGGTGACAGTTAGGTATCTCAATTTTCAAAACAGTGGTATGTAGTCATCTGCCATTTTTATGTGATAAAAGTGTGATTACAAAATTCTCCAAAATATTACAACTTTTTTCAAAGAGCCTTTTCCGTAATAAATGTCTCTGTGCAGTGTGGGAAAATATTTACGAAATCAGTCTTCCCCCTGCATGATGATATTGGGTGACTGGCCCCCATTTGTCACCGTAAATCAGATACATTTTTCAATTTCTTGTTATTCAACTTATTCTGAATATAAACTAAAAATGCTCTTTGAAAAAATTAAAAATTTTTTCTACTTTTTTTTGATTATTCATTCATAATTTTTCAAAACTTCTACATGATACAGGACTTAATTGACAATTTCAGATGACGAAAGATGAAGAAAAAAACATCGAGATAACGTTCGAAAGATAGTACACCCGGGCCTTAAATCAGAATTTCCTTCAACAAAACGCCCTCATCTCACCAAAAAAAAACCACAACCTCATAAAATTCAAAACAATACTTTATAGTTCATATTTTGTATTCATATTTTGTATTCAACTCTAAAATTTATAGATTCAACCAGATGTTCAAAGGTATTCTCAATTGTCAATCGGCACTATGATGCTCAATCCCTTGAGCATCTGGCTGAATCAAAACAATAATTTTTAATGACTCCACAGAACCCTGATTGCTCCTCCATCCATCCACCACCACGTTGTCTTGGTATTCCATTGGTGAGTCGAAGGTCACAACCACTTCCTTGTTCCCCAACATCCCCACAATCCTCTCAGCAGACCCCATTGACTAATTCCTCCCCAAACATGCTCAAAAAATGTCAAAAACGAATGAAAAAAATTATGAAATTTTAATGAAAAACTAATGAAAGTTCACGACTTATTATATTAAAAATTCATTAATAATCTCATCTAAAAATGAATTTCCAAAAATAATGAGACAGCTGTTGATAAATAAAGAATATTCCAACAAACAAAATAGTTCCAATCGCAATTTAAATCAGAATTACTTTCAACAAAACCTCTCGCCTCACCAACAGAAACCACAACTTCATAAAATCCAAAACAATAACGTATAATTCATATTTTGTATTCAACTCCAAAATTTATAGATTCAACCAGATGTTCAAAGGTATTCTCAATTGTCAATTGGCATTATGATGCTCAATCCCATGAACGATAATTTTTAATGACTCAACAGAACCCTGATTGCTCCTCCATCCACCCACCGTCACGTTGTCCTGGTATTCCATTGGTGAGTCGAAGGTCACAACCACTTCCTCGTTCCCCAACATCCCCACAATCCTCTCAGCAGACCCCATTGACTAATTCCTCCCCAAAAATACTAAAAAAACCATAAAGAACAAGTAAAAAAAAAATTACCATTGATGTTGGTGCTCCGAATAGATGTGAAGGACGTGATCCCCCATTTTCCAACAGTGCCAGCTGATTTAGCAGCAGATGGACGATTGCTATTCTCACGAAATAGCTTGTCAAATTGTATACTACCTGGTGTAACACTGTTCACCTTGCGACTGTACGATTTTGTATAACTGCGTGACGTCATTTTTCCCTCGATAATATCTCATAAATTATCTGCATTCCAATAGTCACATTTGCAGCAATATCTCTTCATAATTCGATAATTCCCCTCGACTCTGCCCTTATTCCTCCCCCTCTGCGTAATTAAATTCGTTTGATTAATTACACGATATCGAGGAGAGGCGACAATGCGCCAACGGTTTGTTTGATCCGTGTATATATTTTTTTTTACTCCTGTTTGAAGCTCCTCGATTGATATTCAACTCAACGACTCACAGTGTATTCACCACGTTTCTAATATCCAAATGGTGGATATTTTTTTATTATCCAGGGATGTGGCACACGCGTCATCGATGTGAATAGAGTGTTAAAAAAATCAATTAACGAATAGAATTTTCGGAACATATGAAAGAAACAAACGCCATGTTTCATTCGTCCCCTCTACAATTCTCTCTATCTCTGTTCTTCGATGCACACAGTTTTTTTTCTCCCCCCACTGGCGACTACGATTTTTATCAATTATTTTCAAACTTTTCTATTTATAGACCAACCGAAATAATGGGGGAGTTTACTCAGGTGTTCAGTTTAATTGCGGGCGGTTTGTCTACACTTTTGTTAATAAATTAACGTCTGCGATTGGGGCACATGAATTTAATTAGAAATATCAATCATAACATGATCTTTGCCATCTGTCGATGTTTTTCGTTTTCAAGAGACTCTGAATATGGAGAGAATTTTAAGATGGTGGACGTGAAAGTTTGTGAGAATTTTTTGACGGCAGCGCGCGAAGGTTGACGCGGTCTGCGGGGGGAACTAGAGGTGTTGACGGGCAATGGTAAGAGAGGGATTCATTTTTGCGTTGGAGGAGAAGGAGACAGGGGTCGAAGGATTGCAGGGATCTTCATTATTGCTCTTTGCGTTTTGATTTGAAAAGACGAAGGCAAAGTATTGATTGGATTGGATTCTCACTTTTAAACATTCTTATTTCTTCTTTCAATATTTTCTTTTTCTATTTTTTCATGGCATAGTACTATCATCAATTGAAATGCCATCAAAATTTTGCGCATTACTTTGTTCTGGCAAATAATTTTACATTCAGACCCTCTGAACACTCGAATTCGTTTTCAGTCCGGGTTTAATTAAGGTTCAATCAAGGTTTAATCAGTGTATTGCCGGAATTTAATCAGGGTTTATTCAGGATTTAGCCAGAGTTTAATCCAGCTTCTGTCAGAAGTTGGTCGGGACCATGAATCAATATGAATAAGTATTCAACCTAATAGACTGGTACCTGAGTTTGATAGAGACAGAGATTTTTTATATAAAAAGCTCATGACGGTATTGTGTAACTTGATAAGCAATGATGCTGTTTTCACCATTTTTCAACTTGATTAAGAAGCCATTGAAATATATTTTTCAAGCCCTGATTTAATTGCTATTACTGATGATTCTTTCAGTAATCAGGAAAAAACTGACTTTTTCATTCAAATCGCATAAACAATGTGCTGTAACTCAACAACGAATTGTGCGACCCTCATCATATTCTGATAGAATTAAGAGGGTATTGTTATCCATTCTTTTGAAAGCAGAGCAGTTATTCATGTTTGGGACTTTCACATTCGAAACAAACAATTATTTTTTTTGTAATTTTCAACTAGCGATTTTGTTGACCCAAACAAGACTTGTTTGGGAATTTGTTCCTTTTTCTCTCAGTGTAAAGCTATTCACTTTCTGAAATAGTTCTAACGAATTTTACAACAAAAGTCCGGGAAACAAAAATAAATATAACAACTGGGAGAATCTGCAGTGCATGACACAGAAAAAAACCTTGGCCCTGCGTAATATTGTTAACATTGATCCCTTTACGGGCTTCACTCGATGAATAACCACCTTACTTCGAATAGGACACATTGACGAGGATTCCCCGTCTATTTCCATCGACAGCGTACCTCGAAATAGCCGCTCAGATGAAATGAGAAAAAAGGAGGGGAAAAAAATGTTCATCGTTGAAGTGAACAGAGGCATTACGTGCATCGAAATAACTGGTGTATGAATCTCCGCTGCCGTAAACAAGGAATTAATCATCATGCGGATGATCGAACGCAGAAGACAGCTGATTATTGAAGTATTCAAAGCAAATTTCGCTTCGGGGAAATTGAAATTCAACGATAGCAAAAATTTCTCAGTAGTAATACCCCAAGAGCTTCAAAATTATCGGGTATATCCCGATAGCTTCGTTGCAAACAAAACTTAGCACGATGGTTTGTTTGCAGAGGAGCTTGAGGGAAATACACGATTAATTTTGAATCTCGAGGGGTATTTGTCGGATTATTTTTCCCAATCGGATTTTGGCCAAGCAGACTGCAGTGGACAACATCAGGAGGTGAATTGGGGAAGATTTGGACAAATTATGTTAATAGAATAACCCGCTTTCCATAGACTGTCAAATATAAGATTCTATCTGAAATGAGCCGAAAAAATGAAGAGCCACTGCGCAATATTCAGGTAAAAAAATGAAGAACTACTGCGAAATATTCAAAAGCTAGGAGGAAATATCCAAAATAAAATTGTCGGGTAGCCTCAAATACTGCGCTCTGATTGGTCGAAATCCGATTGGTAAAAATATTCGAATTAAAACCCCTCTATTGACATCAAAAACAATTCTTGACGTCGGTAACGTCGCAATTCCCATTTTCCCGTTTCCCATTTTTCCGCTATAAAATTTTTCATCCCCCCGAAGTCCCCCGCAAACCTCAGAATGCTCATAAATTCATCATATGCTCATGAAGAATTTGCGAAGAATGCAGCAATTTTTACAACTGCACATGACGAGCGCAAAAAAAATCCCGGAAACAGAAATTCTCTCGAAGCCTTTGTGATGTATCACAGTTACAGTGGCTTTGTAAACATAGTCAGCCCTGTGCTGACCTCTGCGTCACACTCTCACCCATAAATGGAGATCGAGGACGCGGAAGATTGTCACCTGAATCCCCCTCCCCCCCGAGTGTAGCTGTGGAAGCCAAAGCAATTGAGACCCAGAAGATTCCCTCAACATTACTCCGTCAATTTGAATAAAATGCGATCTCTTGGGGTTGAGTAACGTTTAGGTACACTTGGAGAAACCTTGAAATTTTGTGGATTGGCCATTAGTCATTTTCAGGAGAGTGACATTGAATGCGATTTAGAAACAGTTTTCAGATCAATTTAACAACGATTAACCCGCTCCCATCGCTGATCCCAACCAATCGGAGATCTTAACCCGGAGTTAAGGATATCCAAGTACTTCTCAAGTCAGCAACTTTTTTCGGTAGGCGGAAAAAATAGATCAGGAAAAAAAATACAGTCAACATGGAGAAAATTATTTGATGAATTTCACCAACTAGTTGTTCAAAAAATGAATTACCAACCAGTTGTTGAATTTCAACAACTATGCTGAGAAAAAAATTGCTTTTGTCAAGAATATTTACTTGCCACAAGTAAATGTATATAAATATTTGCATAAGACATGTATAAATTTTCTTGTAGTCAGTAAATATACTTGGCAAAAGCAATTTTTTTTCTCAGTGGAGTTGGTGAAATTTAACAACTATTTAATTAAAATCCAGAAACGATTGTTCAATTTCATTCGAAAAAGATTTGCTAAATTGTCAATAAGCGTTCGACGATTTATTTGATCGATGAAATTTACGAAATTTAACAAGATTATTGCAAAAATATCTCCTAGGGGAGACATTGATCGATTGTCAAGATATAAATGATTGCGAGATTGTTTCCAAATGTACACGGAGAGAAATTTTTTAGAAAAATTCTAGTGCTAGCACGGGAAAAGAGGCGCAAACTGACGGCCAGGGAAAAATTTCCGTGCCGGCACTAGAAATTTTATCGGGGAAAACGTGAATTTTTCCCCGTATTTCTGTGAAAATTTCACAGAAATCCCCACAAATTTTACCAGAAATACCAAGAAATTTTACCTTAACAAAACTAGAATTTTTCACAGCCGGTGGATTGCGATTTTTCCAAGTTCTCGTACTAGAATTGTTCAAGAAAATTTCTCTCCATGTATATATGCGCTCACCATCTGGTTTGGTAGTCAAAATTAATTGAATGAAATTGACAAATCTTTTCTCAATTTTAATTGGTTGTTAAATTTCATCAACTAGTTGTTGAAATCCACCAACTAATTGTTGAATTAATGTGAATTAATGTGTTGTTGAATTAGTTGTTGAAAAAATGAATTACCAACTAGTTGTCGAATTTCAACAACTAGTTGGTCAAATTCACCAAATAATTTTCTCCGTGAAGGCTTTATACAAGATACCGTAGGGACAGTAGGAGGTCTGGAATTCTGGGAATCCGTATACCCCCACTACGCGCGCTTATATAGAGGGGAGAAAAATAGGGATCAGCGGTTTGAAATAAGATACCTCGCTCGTTGCTCCCGAATTCTATGGAATTTTCATTTTTACTGAATGGATATTGATAACTGATCAATTTATACGAGTTTAATGTTTTGGATTCGTATAGCCCGCGTTCCGTTTTCTCTCTAAACATAACCCCGCGTGATAGAATGGCAGCTGATGTTGGGAGATTGTTGAGGGACTTGAGAATAATCACTTCTGGACAGCTGAAGTACAAATTATTGAAAGTACGTAAATTAATTGAATTTTAATCAGGCTTTATTCTATTAAGATAATTCTGCGTCATCATTTTAATAATTATAGCGTCGAAGAAAAGAGGTGACCCTTGGGATCGTTTAAGCCTTCTGATTACTTCACTTGACTCTCACGTTTGAACTCTTGACCCTCAAGGTCATTTGACCTTTATGATCACTTCGTTCGTCCCTCCCGTTTGACCCTCAACTCCGTTTCATCCTTATAATCACTCTCTTCCCGTTGAAAAATGATTGAGGCCATAGGTACCTTATGAGAAACCTACGGAACTAAACATTCAGGAGGCGATAAAAGTGCCGAGAGTGGGGGCAGGTCACGAGTGCTCGGAGCTCGAAGTATCTTATATAAAGCTTGAACTGTACTGGAATCCCAAGATTTTTACTGTACGAGAACAATCGCGCGCTTGAGCGCGCGTGTTACAGGCAAATCGTGACACGAAAACCGAAAGCCGACCGAAGTCGAACACGTGCGAGCGGATCCGAATGTTCGACCAATGAAATTCGAGGAGTGAGCGTTACGCTACAGCTTACGGCGTATGTTATTTTTAGAACGAGATCGAACGCGCGCTACAGCGCGTTGTAATTGTGACAATCATAATTGAAAATCTCAAAATTAAGTTAATCATGAATTAAACTTGCCGCCTCAGACGACTGAAACCAATGAGGAATGAGCGTGACAGACTTGCGAGATATCGATAGTTATCGACTTTAAGGATGTACTACACCCTTTCGGTCAAAATTCACGTATTTTTCATTTTTCTGGCAAATTATTGATCGGATTGACGCGAAATAATATACCGTTTTGCGTTTTATTGTTATTGACTGACTCACGAAGTTTCACGGTAGTGCAATCGTTTTCCTGCATTTTTTCTGAAGTTTTGTGAATTTCTGAAAAGTTTTAGAAAAAACGCAGAAAAATGATTGCAAGATTATGAAATTTCGTGAGTCATTAAGTAATGATAAAACGCAAAAACGGTATATTTTTTCATGTCAATCCGATCAACAATTTGCCAGAAAAATTCAAAAAACGTGAATTTTGGCGAAAAGGGTGTAATACACCCTTAAGTGTATGTTCTTTTTAGAATAGGATAGGAAATTAGAAATGTTTTTTCTCTCTGCAAACTAACCCAGAGAATATCTCACTATTAAAAATAGCAACTAGGCCCTAGGGGGTATTATTGACCCGGGCGGGTTACAACAGGGGTTACGGTCTTTCCGGTCGACTGGTTATAGGCTGCAGAGGCCTACAAACAACACTTTCCCGGGTTTTTGCACGAGGATGAAACGTAAACGGAATTCCCCTCCCCATCCTAAAATCATCAACGTTAACTTTGGTACAGAATTGAGCCTCTTCTCGTCCTTAAAATCGAATTCATCACGGTTGAGGGTGCACGGGCTTCTATCGGTGGTTATATAGGTAACCCTCGCCCCCCCCCCCACACCCCCTGTCTATTGGAATTCGAGCGATAAAACCGTACACGATGCTCCTCGTGCACAACACAGAGTGTTCTGTGTTGTCGCGCCAATGATCATCGGGGTTAGTTGGGTGGATCTATGGGGAATACACGGGATATTTTGTTCTCGTGTTTTGAAAACGCATTACGCTGGGCTATTGCTGGCTGGGGAGGATTCTGCATAATACTCGCTGTGAAGAGGGAGTTATACACGCGGGGGGGGGGGGCGCTGCAGGGGGTCCCGGGGGNGGGGGGGGGGGGCGCTGCAGGGTGTCCCGGGGGATGTTCTCGCTTGTACACTGTAAATTTTTGGGAGATGCTGATCGTTCCGCGGATCATGACTTCTCTTTTACATCACACCCAGGGAAATGTTTTTTTTGTAAATAAAACAATAATTTTTATTTGAATTTTTTTGACTTATTTCAAGAATATTTTTGTTACGAATGAATAAACTTACTTACTTGTTTCAAGAAAAGGATTTATTTATATTAATTGAAAAACTTATTTATTTCAAATAAATGGTTTTTTTAGTCCAATGAACAATTTATTTTTCTCCAATAGTTTTTTCATTTTAAGAAAATCACATTTTCATGCATTTTGTAAGAGAATTGTAAGAGTGTGTTTCAACAATATTCATGGACTATGTGGAAAAAGGTCGTATAAATCTAATCGAGGAAACGTGAAATCTGGATTATTTGAGCTCTCTAGAGTCTAGAGTCTAGACTCATTCCGATTCCATTTTTGATTACACTTTTCACTCTAGTATATACAACCTTCTTTCATTATCTTCTCCCTGATAGTGAAATCATGGAACAGAAATTTCTTCCTCCCCTCCCCTCTAAATGTCCTGATATATGTACAGCCCCAAATAATTATCGCATGTTTTTCATTCAATCTTTTTCGAGTTTATTACCATTTCAAAGCGATAATAAAATATTAGTATCGAATAAAGATTTATTTAGTTCAAAGAAAAAAATTATTCAATTCAAATCAAGGGATTTTCTTAACATAAGAAAACTGTTTATTTAGTATGAATAAAGAATTGATTTGGTACTATTTAAATAAATTTATTTATTTGATTTAAATAAAACAGTGGAGTCTTTGGATGACGACAAAACTGAGCGGATGTAGTGAAGACGAGCTTTTTCTATATCCAAATCTTTAATATCTTCCGACGAAATGATCCGATTTTGATGAGGCAGATCTCATTTCTGAAGTTTGGAGAATATCTTCAAAACAAAACGAAGTAGTTGTACTCTGCCTTTTACTCTGCCTCAAGGTAAATTATGTTTAAGAAGTAGTCTTTTACGATTTCTGAAGCGTAGGGGAGGATGGGGCAAAACGGCCCCCCTTCAATCGTCAATATTTTCCGATTCAATAATCCGATTGGGATGAGTTAGAGCTCGTTTTGAAGAATGAAAAATTATCTTCAAAATGAAGTTGAAACTGGGAATTTTCACAATGTCATTCACAAGTTATTGACAATTGAAGGGGGGCCGTTTTGCCCCACCCTCCCCTATTTTTCGCGTGAAGTCGAAGCGTTAGTTACGTTCAAAATCACCGTAAACTACCATTTCATAAACGCAATTTACAATTTCGTATTCCATTCGATTCGATTTCGTATTCGTAAATTCCAAACACATACGAAAATTACTGAAACAAACTACTTTTAAAAAATTAACGAGGTGGAATTAAAAAAAATCTGAAAAATAAAGCAAATACCACCTTTTTCTCTCCAAGCATCCCGCTTTCCAATGCAAATAGACAGTCCGGTTCCCCTCCCAACCTCCATTTTTATCATCAATCCCATCACCCCCTAACATCTCCCCCCCCCCTCATTTCGGGGTCATCAGAAATTGTTTCACCGGTCCTGGCCCCCCGAGACCCTTCCACACCACATCCCTAGTTGCCCTCACAAAAACCCTCGTATCCTACTTTTCCATGTATATTTTTTAAAATCCCTTATCCCCTCTATTCACCACCTTTCCCCCCCCCATATCGCAGAGTTTTAACAATCTAACAAATTCAATAACAAATTGATTAACCAATGAATCATCTGCATTCAAAATGAGAAATGAAGTTCATGCCTTCTCTCAATTTTTCTCATTCTTCCATTGAAATTAACAAAAAACATACAAAAATTACTAAAACAGCCTATTTTCAGAAAACTACCAAAGCGAAACTAAAAAGAACCTCAAAAATAAAGCAAATACCGCCTTTTTTCTCCAAGCATCCCGCTTTCCAATGCAAATAGTCCGCCCCAAACGATAATCGCTATCAGAACCCAGTCCCCCCAACCCCCATTTTTACCATCAATCCCATCACCCCCTAACTACTCCTATATCCCTCCCCCCCCTCATTTCGGGGTCATCTGGAAACGTTTCACCGGTCCTGGCCCCCCGAGACCCTTCCACACCGCATCCCTAGTTGCCCTCACAAAAACTCGTATCCTACTTTTCTATGTATATTTTTTTAAATCCCTTATCCTCTCTATTCACCACCTTTCCCCCCCCCCATATCACAGAATTTTAACAATCTAACAAATTCAATAACAAATTGATTAACCAATGAATCATCTGCATTCAAAATGAGAAATGAAGTTCATGCCTTCTCTCAATTTTTCTCATTCTTCCATTGAAATTAACAAAAAACATACAAAAATTACTAAAACAGCCTATTTTCAGAAAACTACCAAAGCGAAACTAAAAAGAACCTCAAAAATAAAGCAAATACCGCCTTTNTGATTAACCAATGAATCATCTGCATTAAAAATGACAAATGCAGTTCATGCTTCCTCTCAGTTTTTCTCATTCTTCCATTGAAATTAACAAAAAACATACAAAAATTACTGAAACAGCCTATTTTCAGAAAACTACCAAAGCGAAACTAAAAAGAACCTCAAAAATAAAGCAAATACCGCCTTTTTTCTCCAAGCATCCCGCTTTCCAATGCAAATAGTCCGCCCCAAACGATAATCGCTATCAGAACCCAGTCCCCCCAACCCCCATTTTTACCATCAATCCCATCACCCCCTAACTACTCCTATATCCCTCTCCCCCACCCCCCTCATTTCGGGGTCATCTGGAAGCGTTTCACCGGTCCTGACCCCCCTAGACCCTTCCACACCGCATCCCTAGTTGCCCTTACAAAAACCCTCGTATCCCACTTTTCCATGTATATTTTTTTAAAACCCCTTTTTCTCTCCTTCCAATCCTCCTCCCCACCCTTCGCTCCATCATCACAAGGGTTTCAGGCTGCGCGGTATGAGTTGTGCGCGCGAATGCTTCGAATGTCGATATTGGAGTGCGCGGCGCAGGCTGAGCAGAAGCCAGTGCGCGATGAAAATTCTAAAATTATCGGTCCGGTACAGAGTGTGTGAGCGCGAGCCACACGGCCAGCAGTTGAGGAACGGTGACAGCTAATCCAGCGCGCGGAGTACGATCACCGTGAGCTAAACTCTCTGAGCAAGAGGGGGAGCGCGCGGGAGAGGGAGTGCGAGTGGAGAGAGGGAACCGAGAGTTGAGGGGAGGGCCGGGGCCGCAGAGGCCGCGCGGTTTACCGACTAGGCGCTACCGTGTGCGCGTTCTCCCTGGGATACGTCACTGTCTTCAACTCGCGTGCGATTCCGTGTGTGTACGCCCGCGCGCGTATTCAGTAGAGGCCAGTAGTGCGTCCGTGTCGGCCGCAAAAGTGGTCAGTTATATCGCCCGGCGGCGATTATTGTTATTGAGATTAAAGTGTACTGAGGAGAGTTGAGGGAGTTTTGAGAATTTAAATTTGAGGGGCTCGAGGAGTGACAGGGATTTAATTTAGAAGGGAGAGAGAGGAGCGCGACAAGATGACGGAGGAGGACAGCACGTGCGAGGACTCCATGGGGTCAGATGCGACCACAGCTTTTGCCAAGAGGCTGAGGGGTCGCAAGGGGGCTCTCAAGAAGAAGAATGTTTACATGATCAAGGATCACAGTTTCATGCCGAGATTCTTCAAACAGCCGACTTTCTGCAGCCACTGCAAAGACTTCATCTGGTGAGTCTTCAATTTTTTTTTATTTAGGTGGAAATAGCGGAGGAGTGGAAATTTGATGTAAAAGGATGTAAAATCCCAAAATGATTGGAGGTAGGAAAAAAAAGGCGTCATGTGCAGCACGGAGAGAAATATTCCATAAAAATTAAGTATCTTTTCCGTAATCCCAGAGCGAAATGTGGTTGTAGGAAATTTTACGGAACTGTCACAAAATTTTTCCAAAGCGTTCCGTAATTTTTATCTGAATCTCCTGTGCAAAATTACGATACCGTCACTTAAATTTTCTGAGTCGATTCCGTAATCGGTGAGTGAACTGTGAGTTCGGTAATTTTTGCTGAACATTTCTCTCCGTGAGGTTGAAAACTGTTTTAATTGTCCGAGAAATGGAATGTGAAATTTAGTGGGAGATATTTATGAAAAAAAGAGAGGTGCGTGTTTTGTTTTTCCGATAGGTTCGTTTGTAGCAGAAAACCTTGAGGAAAATATCTGATTAATTTTGAAGCTCGAGTGGTATTTGGATGAAAATTTTTCCATCCAAATTTCGGCCAGGAGAAATGCACTATGGGACCAAATCCATCTGTCAGTTCCAAGGAGGGCCTCACTCGACCAGGAAATCTTTTATTTTTCATGTATATGTCAACATGAAAAATTAGCAGTGGAATTATCAAAAATGATTAGTTGAATACCGTATTGGCTGTATAAAATAACAGTCAAAGGGTGAAATTTTATTGGCTGAAATTTGCATTCAAAAAATTTTCGTCTGAACTTTCCGTGAGAAATTGCGGTAATGTTTATCGTGTTCAAGTTTCACTGAAATTGCAGGAAATCTTGTCATTGAAAAACCAAATATTCCATTGATTTTCTGTTCAAATGATCTTGAAATCAGTAAAATAATTGATTTTTCAGATCAATTATTTTGTGAAAATTCAATCAAATTGTGAAATGTCCATCGCATTTCCAATGAAAACTCATGAATTTCCGTGAATTCTATTTAAAACTTGAAATTTCATAACCATTTTTTCTCTAAATTCAATTCAATGTTACTCTCTTGAGATTTACTATAATATCTTTCATGAAATTTAAAAAAAATTCTAACAGTGTATCCAACTCATCTTAGAAATATGAATTTGATATAAATGAAGTTTTCCAAAGTTATTAAAAATAGAAAAAAGGCGTCATTACAGGCGTCATTCACATGGAATGTATAATTTAGTTCCAAATATTTACCAAAAGAACAGAGATATACGTTTTTTGCTAGATTTGAGAAATGGCTAAAGTGACAAACGTGTGAAGAACAGAATTAGCAGTATTGGCTTGCAGTACATATGTATCCAACTCATCTAAGAAATATAAATTTGATATAAATGAGATGTCCCAAAGTCATTAAAAATAGAAAAAAGGCGTCATGTGCAGGCGTCATTCACGTGGAATGTGTAATTTTGTTAGAAATATTTACGAAAAAAACAGATACCCATTTTTTTGCTCGATTCGAGATATGGCTATAGCCACAAACGTGTGAACAACAGAAGTATTGGTACTTGCGAAATATAATTGTGTTGTAAATGGATGTCTCAAAGTCATCAAAAATAGAAAAAGGCGTCATGTGCAGGGAAACTAGGGAAAGGCGATATTTTTAAAAACATCGATGTTCCGACTCGATTTTTCTGGAAAAAACATCGATTATTAAAAAAAAAACGTTTTTTCTCATTACACAGGACGAAAAACAAATTTTTTTCAATAATTTTTTTAATATCGTTTCTATTATTTTTCCCAATCGGATTTCGACCAATCAGAGCGCAGTATTTACGGCTACCCGACAGTTTTATTTCGGATATTTCCTCCTAGCTTTTGAATATTTCGCAGTAAGGTAAATGATCTTACGCTCGTCTAGCTAAGGTGAACACATCATTAGTTCAATATTTCTATCGAAATGAGCGTGAAGATGCGATGATTTCAATTACATATCAGAGGGTAAAACTTTCAGAGTTGGAATTTATTTATATTAATTATGATAATTACTATTTTTTAACAAATAATTGTCCATGAATGTGAAAAGTCCCATGTCTTTACACTCGTTCATTTGTCCCCATGCTCGTTTGACACATGTCCCTATCCTCATCTCGTGATTTGAGTGATATGGAAAGGTTATATCCGAACTAATTACATCGTGAGTATCCTATTTTGTGATAAAACAACATTAAAAAATATCTCAATGCACAAAATTGTATTTCCATTGGGCAGTCCAACCTTTTAAATGATTTTTTCATCCGTTTAGTCCGTTACCAGTTGACAGTTGGGTGCAAAACGAGCGTAGGATCAATGCCATTTTCATTGTACCTATTCTTTTAATTGGCAATATTTCAGTGAAATATCCGGATATTACTATCATTTATGCATTTTTATTAAATTTTCAACTATTCGAGACCTTAGCCAAGGGATTTTTAATTCCATTTTACTATTGTAACGGAGATATCAACGTTTTGAAATTGTGTCTTTCTCAACTTGTGGCTTAAGAATTAACTCTGTCGTAGCACGAGTTGATGTGAATATGATTTTTCTCTCGTATTATTCAATAATAAATCACTCTGCATTGGTGTCTATAACTTTTCTTATTGACTAAAATAATAACTCCAATTGTACTTCACTCTAGATGACTCTTGGGACTATCAAGATGATTGAAATGTCATAGCTGGCAGGATCTGAACGACCGTAGGGACAAAGACGGGCATAGGTACATTTACCTTAGTTCTTCATTTTTTTTACCTGAATGTTTCGCAGTGGCTCTTCATTTTTTCATCTCATTTCAGATAGAATCTTATATTTGACAGTCTATGGAAATTGGGTTATTCGATTAACATAATTTGTTCAAATCTTCCCCAATTCATCTCCTGATTTTGTCCACTGCACTCTGCTCGGCCAAAATCCCATTGGGCAAAATAATCCGATAAATACCCCTCGAGATTCAAAATTAATCGAGTATTTCCCTCAAGCTCCCCTGCAAACAAACCATCATGCCAAGTTTTGCAGAAAAATCCCTCGCGCAAGCGCTCGGGATTTTTTAACCTGCAAAACTTGACACCCTTAGTTGTTTGCAACGAAACTATCGGGAAATACCCGATAATTTTGAAGCTCTTGGGGTATTACTACCAAAATATGCATTTAAAAAATATAATCCGAGGCACTTACGTTGCAATGATCAGTACTGATGAAGAGTCAAATTTTGAATCTCGAAACACACTGACAAAAACAAAGGCTTTTGAGAAATACGTCTTTATTAATATCAAGAAACTTCTGACTTCAAAATTTTCAAGAGTAAAATCTCTTGCACTCAGAAAATAAAAACTTTCGTCAAGTAATTTTGTAGTTATCCTAAAGAGGAGAACAATTTCTTGATGATAACAGGGATAGGCAATAATGGTAGATTTTGGCAATATTCAAAAGGATTATCTCGTTATATTGATCAAAGTTCAACTATAATTGTCAAATTTAAAATATTATAGAATTTATTAACTAAATTTTTCGATTGAAGGTGAATAAAATATTTGATAATACTAAAATCTAATTTTTTAGTTACCAATCTAATTCTAACTTTAGGTACTTGCATAATTTTGGATTATCCACGCGGAGAAAAGTGAATGGTAGGGGTTACTTTTATATGGTAGAGGTTACCATAAATTATGGTAAAAGGGTTTCTAAGTCAATCTCAGTAAAGCGTATGTTGTATAGTAATCAATACCATTCGAACATGGTAGGCATTACTATACAATATAGCAACGACAACCATTATTATAGGAGAGATTACCATGTGGATGGTAATCAGTACTATTTATACATGGCAATCTCTCCTTTTCTCGATATCGTAGAAAATACTAAAAATAGCCATCAAGGCACAATTAAAATTGAATTATCGGTTACTCATCAACAAGTCTTTACCACCACCTTTTCTCCCTGGTCCAGCTCTTAACAAGAGATTAGAATTAGATCCAAATTATCGTCATTTTCTGCCAGTTCTCCCGTACAATCGATCTGGAGATATTACAATATTAAGCTCTCTTAATTATTTCGGACATGATATCAGGGAAAACGTAATATTAATGATGCCGACCGAGGCTGGTCCTCAATTACATTTGATCAATATCGTAATCCTAGAGCCAAATAATCAAGTTATTCTTGTTACTCAACAATTATAAGAATACTCCTTTGAAAAACATTTCCAATCGTATGAAATTGATATAAATGATAAGAGGTGGTCGACATTGACATTTCGAAAAATGAAATTTTGTATCCTATCGTATATAGCTACCTCCGGGAATGGAAAGCAATACGTTCCGAAACGTTGGGTCTAAATTCTGACGCAAAGTTGTTGAATTTAATTACTCACATTTGAATTTTTTAATAATTTTTATAGCGCCGTAATGNTAAGAATACTCCTTTGAAAAACATTTCCAATCGTATGAAATTGATATAAATGATAAGAGGTGGTCGACATTGACATTTCGAAAAATGAAATTTTGTATCCTATCGTATATAGCTACCTCCGGGAATGGAAAGCAATACGTTCCGAAACGTTGGGTCTAAATTCTGACGCAAAGTTGTTGAATTTAATTACTCACATTTGAATTTTTTAATAATTTTTATAGCGCCGTAATGCCAAAAATTCTTCCAATGATTAGGTAAAATTTGGGGCAAAAAATCCTACTATTCTGTAGATATGTATATTCTGATATTAAAATACTGATGTAAATATGTTATTGTTAAATATGATCCTTACGATACTCGATATGATTAATCTAGGTATATTGATGATTATTGATAGGAAAGAATCCTACATTATAAGAAAATACTCTGTAATTATTGAAACAGCGTCGAAACTAAATACGTTAAATATAAATATATATCCCCCTTGAAATTTCTATCTCATTATACTCATCATTATCATGATATAGTTTAGTGATCATTATCTTTTATATTCATGAAATTTTATGACTTTTTCACGTTTTACC